TAGAATAATAAAGTCTGTCAGAACTTAATTTTGTCTTAAAATTGGATTATTAAACAAGATGAAGTATAAACAACAGGTAGTGTACTGAATTATTTTTTCCTGATGAGTATTGATCATTATTTGAGAACTATTATCTCACCCTGACCTGTAATGTTTTTCATATGATAGAAGAAAACACTTTTTCTACTGAAGAAGTTGTAATCAGAATTTTACTATGTAAATGAAGTCATTTGAATAAAACAAAATGCTGAAGAAAACTTTCCCCTACCCTTCAGAATACAGTACTCTTCTCTCTACTTTTTTTTTTTTTTTGAAAGGAGTTTTAGCGCTCCCAAGCTATTTCTTTGCCAGCATCTTCCATGAGCTGAGGGACTTTACATGCTTTGAAATGGCTTTGGTACTACTTGTTATAACATCTTGAATTAAGTTGAGGATTTGTAATAATTTCTAGTTCATTTTCAATGTCTTTATTTTAGGAAGGAAGCGCAGATAAAATCTTATGTTCTGCTGCACTAAGATCTATTTCAGTCTGTTTTTCTGCGGCTCACCTGTGTGGGTTCTCTGGTGACTAATAGTGTGATTGAACACACACTTCTTGAGTAAGAATACTAAATTGGGTTTCTGTCTTTCAAGCCATCAGTTTTATTTGCACAAACCCCCATGGCATGTAATATAGTTGAAATAGAGAAATCTTTGTCAACTTTTGCTGAAAATGAAGTATTCTAAGGTTGTTGAAGGACTTGGATATCCTATACCTTTAAAAAAAAAAAAAGGGAAAAAGGTAAGCTTAAAGAAAAACAGTATAAGTAAATTTTTTTTTTGTTTGTTTTTAACATGTGAGTTGTTGAGTTTTATGTTTGAAATCCACTTGAATGAAGTGTCCAGAAAAGTTACTTTAATGTAGCTGCAGCTACTTTCTCTTCTTCAGCTAATTTCAATTTAAAGTAAAGAAGGGTTTGGTTTTTTCTTTGGAAGGCAGGCAGTTTACCTGTCAGGATATCAGCAAATGCAAAGATATTAAACAAACTGTTGTTCCAGTTAACACAAGTAATAACATAATAAACTATATTTTAACATAAATAAACTGTAACTTTTGGTTTGGGAAAAAGTGAATTACTACCTGATCCTCAGCTCTAGTACCTTATATGTGTGTTCGGAAAGAAAAGCCATCATGTTATCACGGGACACACATTTTCAAAACTTACCACTCTCTCTTACAGCTTGGCTTCAGTTTCTGCCTAGTTAGCTAATCAAGGCTGATAGAGATGGAAATAGATGCTCAGTTTATTGTGGTCTGTTTCTTCTAATCCTACTTATCTTTCATTCACACACTTGTATACTTGACAGATGTTAATGAAACGCTTCTTTTGAACTCAACAGATACTATTCTATGAAAATTATCAGAACAGAGATGAATCCATTATGCATAAAAGACATTTTTTACCACTTTGATCTCTGACAATTTGGCTTTAATCCTGGTGACCATACACTGGCTTTCATTTTATGTTCAGTTTATGTCTGGCTTTTGTTCCACGCTAACAGATAAAGCTGAGTGCTGTTCAGTCTGAAAAATTTCAGACTGTTTATGCTAGCAGGTGATGTATGACATGATATTGGCAGAGATGTGCAGTCCGAGTGCTGGGAGAACTCAATAGTTTTAGGCTATTGATCTGGAATTTGTGTTGTCCTATGCCGCTTTATTATATTCCTGGTCTCTGAAGCGAAGTTGCTTGACTGCTGTGAAGGACTGTCTCTGCAGTGAAGAAGGTTATAGCGTTGTTAATTTTTGATATCTTTTGACTGTAGAGATGCCCTGGTTAAAAGCTGTGAAGAGATCTGCGCAATTTTGGGACCGGTGCGTCGGCTTCCCTGGGCTTCGGACGCAGCTGCAGAGATCCTGGTTATGTGTCTCTGACCCTGTGGGCAGCCAGGCTTCACTGCTCTGCTGCCTGGGATGTGCACAGGGCTTAAACTTGCCCTTCCTTCTCACGGCTTAAAATTTAAATGCATTTTCTTGCGGATGAATTGATTTATACCCCCCTTTAGAAATAGATATTCTAAAGGTCATTTTTGAATATCTAGTTAAAATGGAATATACAGAGAGTCTGGAAGAGGACTTGTTTCTTAAGGGTGTTGAGTTTTGGGGGTTTTGTTTGTTTTCCGTTGTTTTTGTTGATGTTTTACATTTCATAGCACACTGAGCTTGGCACACTCAACTGTGACTGACCAAGATTTTGTTCTGGAGTGTAAGAAAGCCTGATATATTTTTGATACTTGAAAAAAAATCTGACAAGGCAGTTCTTCCTAGATCTTGATGTTTCATTCTGTGTCCAAATGTTTTGGTCACTTTTTTAAGAAATGAATGATTCAAGAGATCTGGGTTATGTGTAATTGTTAGTAATTTTACAAAACTTGTTTTTACTTAGATTCAAAAATCTTCATGCCACTTCTATGCTACTTGTTGAAATTAGGAAGTACTCTGCAGACCTACCATTATCATCCATTTTACTGAAAAACAAATAACCTCAAAAGTGCGGATGGCTCCTTTTTTAAATTATTATTATTGCATTCATCCTTGTGTGGAGCAGAGCACATTCCTGTCATGAGTATACATTGATGTACCGTTTTGTCATCAGTTTTGTCCTTGGACATGAGCAGAAACTAACATTTTTTGTACTTAATAGGAGGAATTCTAGATCCCGTCAGTGAACAAAATAGCAATGTGCTTCTTGCTTGAGAAAACTGAGCAGTTTGTTCCCCATCTTATTAAATTGCTGTGCCCTGTGTGTAGTAGCTCTGTTCTTTACACTTCCCGCTGAATGCTTTCCCCGCTGGCCTGAGAATTACCGCTATTATGTCTCCTGATTCACGTTTCTGGAAAGCCTTGCTAGTGCTGGTTGGAGAGGCATTGATCTATTACGACGAGCAGACGGAGATGTTAAGGTCATATACAGTTCAAGAGTGAATCATAGGCCTTGATATTATGCATGTCCACAAAGATGATGATTTACTTTGTCACTGAAAATAAAAGAAGCGAATTTATAGGCTTGTAATACTAAAAGTGCTTTTTAAGCTCATGTGCTTTTGGTCTTGCATCAAAGTTACATACAGGGGTAAAAATCTCTTGAGCTTTGGAGGTTTTGTACAGTATATTGACTTTTAAAATAAAATCTGTATTCCAAATGTGTATGTTGCAAATAGAACGGTCTCTAAGAAGTACCGGCTGGAAGGAATCATGCTAAGTTGATTTATGCAGAATTTAGGAAGAACGACAATGATCTGAGCAGTGTTGCTGTGTTTAAGTGTGTCTTTACTTTCTTCAGATTTCCTTTATTCTCATTTCTGCCTGGGACATTCTGCATGCTCCTTTTGGCTTCCCTGATCTGAATTTCAGATGTGGTCACATGCTGCTTGGTGCGTTTGAAGCTGTATATGGCTAGCGCAGGTCAGACCATTTCTGCCTTCATCCAAATAGTTCTGAAACCTAATATTCCCTTGATGGGGATCTCTCGTATGTAAAGTGCTTGTTTAAAATAAGACTCAATTTGCCTCTCAGCCTGCCTGATAGAGCTGCGATGTGACAAATGGATCAAATGCTGGTATTGTGCAAATGATGCATCTGTGCAAGTTTGCCCTCAGTGCACACAGCAGTCGATTCTCCCCGACTGCTTTTTTACTTCTCACTTTTATCTTCAATGTGTGGCCTCGTGCTTTATCTGTCTCACACTATTCCAAGCCTGCCATGAACACAGACCTGCTATTTTCCTGTCAATTGTGTCCTTTGTGCTTGTTGCTGTAGTCAGAGTAGCTGGACATCACGACCCCGTGAGATGCAGTAACAGCTTGCTGTTTGTGCAATGGGGACGTGGCATGGAGATAGGGTCAAAAGTGACCACTGATTTTTGGATTCTTAATGTGAGCTTAGGCCAGGGATTTTTTCAGGACATGTTATGCTTCAGAGAGAAGAGCACAAGTTTAGCACTCAGGGGGAAAGGAGGGGGCAAAACTCTTTTCTGAATAAGACCTTGGAAATAAGAAAGGCATACCAAAAAGGAGAGACCCATGATTAGTGGGAAAGGGTGAAATGTCAGGTTCGAGTATTACACTGACAGTCTGTGGCAGAGGCAGGTCTGGGAGCCAATTGCCAGGCTAGCTAGCGTTCAGCTCTTTAAATAGAAGAGCCTTCACTACCCCCGTCTTCCTTGCAGTCCCCTCCCACATTCACTGCATAGTTTCAAACTTCTGCAATGAGTGAAGTGGGCATCTGACAGACAACAGCCTTCTTCACATATACAGTCTTGATTCGTCCCCGGAGGGAGTCTGAAATGTTCATGGATGTGGCAGATGTTCTACAGAGTAAACTGTATCAGAAACTTAATAACTATACCATAGTGCACATACTCAAAAGTCGATACCTTTCTAAGATGGCAGGGGCAGCTGAAAACAAGGTGAAAACCTGGATTTTTGAATCCTTGGAATGACAACCCTTAAATTAATAATTCTTTCAGTATAGAGGGAGCTTCTGTCTACAACTTCACTGAACTTTAGTAAAAACCAAACAAACTGAAAGCAACAAACCTCATGTGGTATTATCTGAGCTGTGATGGTTTTGAACAACAGAGTTGAAATAATCAGATCTGCTGTCCCACAGCTGTTGGAGCTACCACTTCCCTAAGGCTAGCCGTAATCTTTAATTCTCCCTATGGAAAGAGATGTGGCATGTTGCTGAAATAAAGTATTTGCTGGCAGCATGGCAGTAGAGAAGCTGACCCCTATCAGAGCATATTCCTGCCTGTCCTAGTGTCCCAGGTCTCCTATCTCCCACTGCTTAGGTTAAGGCTTTCATGAATGTGTCACTGGATATAGGCTAGATGGTTGTCCTGAATGCTGGCGCTGCTGCTGTGTGATACCAGGTCCACATCTGAGAGCTTTTGGTTTTTCAGAGGGATCTTTGGATACAGCTGTAAAATCTTACGTTCTTCAATTTTTCTTTTTTTTAGGTCAGCCAAGCCTCCGAGAAGCTATCTCGATGTCCTGTATAACTAATGGGAGTACAGGAAGCAGGAAAACAAGCCACAGTTCCTCTGTTTCTGTTGCCAGAAAAGAAACTCTTTCATCTGCTGCTAAAAGGTACCAACTTGTTATTTAAATTGAAATTATATTTTTTTAAAAAAGAAAACACAAAACCCAAACAGAGCAAGAGTTTGATTGTTGCCTCTGCATGACCCTCAGCTGAGCTTCCTGAAGTCTAGTAGGGCACAAATAAACTTTGGAGATGTACTATGTTATTGGGCTGCTTACAGCAGGGTTCTATAAAGAATTCATAAGTGGAGAGTATTTTTATAGTGTATAGTGTCCAAAATGCATTCTTACAGAATGGGAAAATGCATTTCCAACACAAATGGAAAATTTTTCCTTCTGGTCTTCATCTGCATCTTTATTTTTTCTGAAGGAAATTAGAGGACAAAACTGACTCCATTGTCTGGAGTCAGGCAATAGCAAAAGAGCTATGAAACAATAGTGAATTGTGTAAGATGAAAGTTTACATTTTTATGTAGGAAATCTTAACCCAAAATATGGCTACTTAGTCTTTATGAAGAATATCTGTATCAGATCGTAAATGTGTAGAAATAACACTGCATGAATATTTGTAAGTTAAATGAGCTAAGCACCAAACAATAGCTTTTTTCCTCCATGGAATGGTTTCAGAGCTGCATACAGTAAACAAAGTGTTTGTACAACTACGTTCTTCTGTGACTTTGTTAGATAGTGATTACAGGGCTTCTTTCATCAGTTGGTTTTGCACCTATTCCTGTCTGTTGGGAAGAACAGGCTGCCAGATATAGCCACAGGACAGAGAATACTCTAATGTATAACTGTGGTAAATTATGTGAACAAATTCTTGGCCTCTGTAGAGTACTCTGCTAACTCCAGTGGCTGGTTTGTCTTCTAGTGTGGATGTAAATACTGTGCTATACAACAAGACAGGGAAATTATATACTTCAGGGAATAAAAATGCTGTATGCAAATATAAACTGTATGAGAACGAACCAGAAAAACTTTAGTGCCCTTTGGAATTTGGAAAGCAAAGGTAATGCTTTTTGCTCTTCTCCATTGTATAACATTGCATATCTTTCTTTTTTATTGAATCCGTATGTTTACTTTTCAACAATAAATCAGAAAGTAATCGCTGCATGTCTCTATCTGCTAGTGTGACAGGCACCGGGACAAAAGACATTCCTGCAGGAAGGTATTTCTTCGTTAGCACTTTTCCATTAATCTTGCCCCTGTGGCTCTTGGCACTTTGATGAGAGCCAGTCCAATTCCCGTGGTGTTTGTGCTGAATCACCTTCTTGATTCATTGGCTGCTCAGCACTTGACTGCAGAAGAAGAGCAGAGTGGAGTGGCCGGCATCCCTTTCATCTGAGTTAAGGTCTTTAAAAGGAGACCTGGATAGGCTGAAAGAGGAAAGCCTTAATATGCTGAGGGCGGCTCTCCCCAGGCACCCAAATAACTGCCCAGGGGAGATTTGGGTGCTTCCAGTACATCTGCAGATACATGACTCCCGTCTTCAAGGCTTGTTTTAGGTAGGCATAAGTCCCCTCTTTAGTCACTTTTTCAGCCGTTCCTTTCACTCTCCTGTCTTTATACACTCTTCCATGCATTTGGAAGAAAATAGACTTGCTCTTTTGTAAAATTACCAGCTTAAGAAAGGCAAAAGAAACTGTCTAATCTCAGGCATTCTGTTTGTGGTTTTTTTAACAACAGCAAAGCTGTTCAGTACCAAATAATGTTCCTAGTAGGAGACATAAGTGATTGTCAATAGTGGTCGCATTTCCTTAAAGCTAGGGTAAACATGTCTATTTCTAACATTCTTGTCAAGAGTTGAAAAGGAGGAAGGCCAAAGGAGAATATCAGCTGGTCATGGGATGCTTCACCCCAGCTTGTCCGGATTTTTCTTCAGGCTGGAAATTGAACTGGTGCAGCAGATGGACATGGTCATCTGTTGATGTAGAATTACACTTTAGTTATGAAACAGCCCCCATAAACTGCCTACAGCTTTTTACATTCTAAATATATGTAGCCATACATCTAGTCACAAGTATCAGGAGGCCCACTTGTGTCCAAACTGTTATTGTTGTTGAAGTTTAGTGTCTGTATTTTGTGCACTCTTAATCTTGTACATTTCTGGGGCTCTGGCCTCTGTAGACCTGCCATCTCTGAGAATTTCTTGTGTTTCATTTCCTGGACTGTTTAATCCTTGTTCTACCAACTTGAACACTGAGATCATGGAGATGATCTGGTGGCTCAGTAGCTGCACAGCAGCAGCACGTCTCATTTCAACAAAGGCGTGCTAAAATATCAGCTGTCAATAAAACCAGAGCCCAGGAATGTACGATGAACAACAGGTAGATGATGTCCCATTGACAGAAATGAAGTCATGTACATGTTGGGAAAATTTCAGCCCTGTAGTCTGGAACTGACTTGTGATAGAGGTGTCAAGACACTTTAGAACAAAAGACATGCTGCATACCTTGTATTATCACTAGAGTTGGAAACAGGTTTGTACTTCGTACAGCAAATGACTGTCACAAAGACCTGCTGGATCATTTTCCTTATGACTAAACACTCTTCTGAAAACGACTTCTGGTAAGAGTAGTCTTCATGTTTCAGAATGACCACCCTCCACAGTAGCTGCCGATGTGTTGTGGTCCAAAGGATGAAACGTGTTGAGTGAAATTAGAGAATCCGCAAAATTAGGACAGATAATAAAAGATCTCAGCTACTCACATGTAGACTGAAGAAAAGCCTTATTGAGTTGGGATTTAGAAAGAATTTTTGGATGCATTAAACGACTGCTTCCCAGAACAACTAGTCTTTAGAAACCCACAAGAAAAGGTGGATTTCTTGATTTGGTTTCAGTTGTTGCAGAAGACCTAGTTCAAGAGGTATTAGTGGGAGAGCTGCTCTGTAATAGCAGTCATAGTACAATTAAGCTGAAGATTTTAGCAGGAGAGAGAAAACCAAATACATTCAGCACAAAAATATTCAATACCAAGACTGCCACATGTCTACATCATTTACTTTCAAATTAAAATGGCAGTCAAAAAAATGAAGCCCACTTGCAACCTAGTGTTAGATAAAAGCACTGTGTTGGAACCCAGGGTATACCTTGTGCTGCAACTCACAGAAACCAGAGTGGTCCACTGACTCTCGTGGCCCAACAGAGAAGCTAAGGTGTGAAATAGATAGTCCACAGCTGAGAAGCTTGGTGAAGCCGTTGAAGAGATTCCCACACTGAACCTGTGGTTTCTAGGAGATGGATCAGATGAGCTAAATGAGTTTGGGTAAGAGCACAGAAAATATGGGACCAAATTGATAACTTAGATGATATGCTGCTGTCAGCAGGTGGCATTCACCTGAGTGTGCTGGAGGAACCACGTGGTAAACAAGGTATTACAAAAAGTACGGGGAAAGGGACTGCAGGTAATGGCCTCACTGATGAGCTCTTTTGTGCCACCATCAGAGACAGAACATGGTGCCATGTGAGCCACTGTTCTGACCAAGTAGGACCATTCTTTGTAGACATGCAAGCTGGAGTTACAGAAGTCACTACGTTTGTGTATTCTCTCTGCGTCCCTCATCTCTTTTACTATTGTGAGACTGTATTTTGAAATCCCTAAGTAGAGGGAAAGGGAAAATTGGAAGTATGTCTTCCTGAAAGATGATTGAAAACCAAACAAAACATTCTGTCTTAGCAAATGGACTCGTGAGAAATCCTGCATTTATGGGAGAACGAATGCAGAGGTCTGTAATTGTACCTGTTGGAGTAGGAATAGAGACCCTTGTTTTCTTTAGTGACAAAGATTCCAAGAATTTATTTCTCTATACTGCATTTCTTGCCACTGACTGTGAAAAGATTAAGATTGCTTCATATGCTCTTGTGTCCAGCAATGAAAGCTAAGTCTTCCGATTAAAAAACAATAATTTTTATGTTTCAAGCTAATTAAGGACTTCTGGCTATAAATTATTAACCAAACCCCCACAATTCTTCAAGCTTTGTTTTCCCTGATCATATATATATACCCTCAAGAAATGTGAAAAGCGCTTTCTGTTTTGTTTTCATTTGGTCTTCTGGAAAGAAAATGTAATTTTGATGGATTATATTGACATTTTTAACTAGGTAATATGGTTTACAGAAGAAATCCTGAGTGATCCTTATAAATGTATTTTGGGTTTTATATTATTTTTCAGGTTTTGCCCTGTTCTTTAGTGCTTCTTTGGAAGCATTTAGAAAAGTTGAACTCCTGTAAGCGTCGAGGGCTTTGTCTCGATGGTAGAAGATATACTTTAATTGAAGTAACAAATGAAACAGAAAGAGGGTCCTATGAATTAAATTTGGCCCCCATTTTTATTCATTTATTTTATTCATTTATTTGGAATATTGTCTTACTGTTTTTCATTGCTTTGTGGGGAATGGTAAATGGAAACACAAATAATGAAGATTATACAAGGGTTTGGGGGGGAGGGAGAAGTAGTGTGAGGAAATAGAGATCTGGATTCTCCCCTTCAGAAAGATACTATTTCTTTTTTACTTTGCAGGTTACTTTGAACCTAAGAGAAAAATCTTTTTTTTTTCCTTTTTAGCTGGTGTTTGTATCTTGCCTTGTTTGTTCGCTGAGAAATTTATCTTGGAAGATTTTTTTTTTTAATCTTAAAAAAAAAAAAAGGCCGTGCACTGCAGAATACTCTTCTCTTTCAGGTCCTGCTATTGTTTGTGTGATTCAGTCTGTTGCAAAGCATGCTATTTTATACAACAGCTTTTTAATTAATCTTTCCATTTACTTAGTGGACCTTCAATTAGGTCCTTAATGAATTTAAGGTTGTTAATGACATGTATTTAAAGCTGTTTCAAATGTTAACCTAATAAATACAGCACTATGAAAATAAAGATGATGTATTCTTAGTTGTCGTTTACCGAAGGCATTAAAGAAGTAGCAAGACAGTCTGATGTTAGTCAACTACAGATCAAAACAGTGGTGAGTTTTCAGTGGTGATTTCCTTTGAACTCTGCTGCAGCCAGGGAAAGCCCAGGGAACCTGCAACAGCATTTCACTCTTGCAGCGACAGCGCAAAGATAAGCAGTACCGTACGTGTCCAGAAATACAGAGAGAGAGGTATAGTTTCATGGCAAGCTTACGCTAATCAGAGAAGGTGCAAGTCACGCTCCTGCCTTTCGCTTGCACTGAGCTTTGGCTGGCAGCAGGGTAAGGTAGTCGGTGAGCTGAACCAGAAGATGTTTTGTTTGTTGTTTTGTTTTGGTTTTGTTTTTGTTTTTTTTCTGAGGGACAGCAGACTTGTGGTGCATCAACTTGTGTCAGCTTTGAATGCTGTAGAAGTGCCTGCAAATGAAAGACATACATCAAAGTTGTATTAATTTTAAAATCAGAGTAAACTTAGTACAACTGTGCAGCAAAAATAAGTAAATAAACTTCCTCTCTCACCTTCTATTTTTTTGGAGCTTGTGAATAAATCTTATTTTAGCAAAATGCTAACCTGAAGAGAATGAGTAAATAAGCAAAGCGTTCTTTCGGTGATTATATAGTAAATTGTAATATGCTTCTCCCATCTTTTCACAGAGGGCATTTTCTCCCACCTTTTTAATTTATTTGCTTGTTCTTTTTTTTTTTCCCCTCTATGTTATACTTTATTTTACAGCGGTACAGAAAAAAAGAAGGAAAAACCTCCAGGACAGAAAGAAAAAAAAGAGGAATCTCATTCTAATGATCAAAGTCCACAAACTCAAGCATCACCTTCTCCCCAGCCCTCCTCACAGACTCTCCAAACACACAGGCAAACTCAAGAAAGCAAGAGTTCTGCTCCAGCTAAAAGGTTTTCACAGTACCACAATACAGAACTAGAAAATTATTGTAATGATACTGAGTTCGTATTTGACAACAAGTCATGTGAAATAGTTCCAATCTCATGATGAAGTTGTTAAATGTTTGATTTTTCTTGTGCTCGAGAAGATGCATTCAACATGCATGGCAGCAGAGCAAATATCTAAAAATGCAATTTTTCTTTGAGTAATTTTTTAAGATTACAAAGGTTTTTTTTGTTCTCTGTGATTGAAATCCTAATATGGTAAAGTTAGATACCTCTAATCAGTCGTTATTCTAAAATAATGATTCTGATTTGATCCTCCTCAAAATACACTTAACAGATTTTGTTTGGCACAGGTGAATTGTAGGTGTGTTTTGCACATGGCCATTTACTACATCTCACAACAGCATTTGTTAAATACTACTATCATTGCAGCTCTTCCTTTTGAGAGTTTCTCTTTTCAAATCATATAAAGTGACTGCAGTTTGGATTTTTTTTTTTGCTGCCCACCCCTTTTCAATTCCTGCTAGGTTGCAGGATGGTTCATTTCACTTTTATTCTGGTTCTTTACATGAGTGAAGTTGTGGTTTTGCACCCAAATCATCAAACTACTTGACTTGAGTGAATGTAGAAGTTTGTTTAGGATTGCCTCTATGCTCCTGCTCATTTTAGTGGGAATTAGGCACAGAAAAAATGGTAGTTTCTTGGTTTTGTTTTGTTTTTTTAAATGGCTTTTCAAAGTCAAGGAAATAGATTTTAAGATTTGGGTGATTATTTCAGAGTTTCACAACTATGCAGATCACTTGGTGTGTTTTTTGTTTTCTTTTTACTTTTTTTTTAAATTTTTTTTCTTTTTTTGGTTCATTGTCACCTTATTGTTTTGCAAGGTGTGAAATTTTGTTTTACTGTTTGGCATTTAGGAAGCTGAAACATGCTTTGACAGGAAATTTATTCCTCTCAAATTTACTGTGGTTCACAAGATTATGTTGTCTTGTATTGCTCAAATTCACAGCTCTAATTAAATATTTAAACTTTCACTTGACTGATGCATGTTATAACACTCCATAAAGGTTCTGTCTCCATGTCTTGCACAAACTCTTAAGTTATCTGAAGCTGAACTTGTGGCCTGTTGTTCTCCTGCCTGGTATCTCACTGTAAAGATGTTTGTCTGAAGTCTTGCTTACTAATCTTTTGCAGTGTGGGGAAAAACATTAAATGCCTTTTTTAGTCTCTTAATGATTTAACTTGATTTGATTAACTTGTTTGTCGCAGGACCTTTCAGCTTCTTGAGATGCTGCGGAAGGAGCTTGCCATTTCTAAAGCTGCGGTTCAGGACTTAGTCCTGCAAAAAGCATTTCTGACGGGATGAAGTATAATACTGTTAGCAGGACATATGCAGACTCTAAATCAGCTGGTTGAAGAAAAATTTGAGCTAGATCACTTTTGAACATGTTTTCCATGAATCAGATCTGTGTGAAACTAATGAACTAGTGACTGCAAAACGTGTAGGTTCCCATTAGTGTAAATTGGCTACAATAAGATTGCTGAAAAATTATATCGGAATTCATGGATTTAATTATCTGCAGTATTGGGCCAAACCTAGCTTGCCTTATTCATGCAAGAAGTTTGCAGACGTTTGTTTCAAAAAGATTAAAGCCATTAAAGTGGTTTGGAATGTACTATCTGCAAAACAGCCACATGAAACTGTAATCTGATAGAAGTGTTCTGCCTCAGAAATCAGCATGTTAAAGCTGGTGAACAGTTAATCAGGGAAAAATTTTCTACTTTACTACCTTCTTAAGTGATTTTTTAAAAATAATGTCTTCTTTAAGGCTAATATGCTGTAGCCTCACTTTTTTTCTACTTTGGTAATTCGTTAGCAGTATAGTAATGAAGTATGAGTTATTTTGCTCAAGTCCTTATGTAGGAGCATTTGGAAATGGAAAGGAGTGGATAAAACATTTGGCAGCTGTCTTGCTCAATTGTTTTCATTCATCCAGTTAGAACTTTTTGACTAATCTTTTTTTCCTGTTTCATGCTTCAGCTTGAAGGAAGACCTCGCTCTGCTTTTGTCTCCTGCTGCTTGACCTGTCAGTTGCATACCAGTTCGTTACTGTTATCTTCTTATCTTGTTGTTTTAAACTATATTTTTGTTTCTTCTAGCATAAAGAAATCCTTGACTGCTGAAAAACCTCACGGCGCTTGGGAGAGTTCAGATGACAGTCGTAACAAGCTGCTGAGAGTAGCATCAACATCTAAATTAATATCAAAAGTGGCAAAGAATGCAGACAAGTATGTATCAGCTTGGTACTTAAAAGCAAGTGAACTTTAGAGTCAAAATATGATGAAATTGCATAATCTTGGTGTACTTATTTATGTATATGCTAAGATCATCTGCATCTTTGTTTTTACCAGGAGTAATTACTTGCATAACACAGCAATGTAGTGCTCCAAGTGCCTATGAAATCTTAAAATTATTACAACATGTGAATGCAGGATTGAGTGTGAATATATTTTAATGTTGTCCATTTGGGTTAGCAGAATTATGCACTATGAGTTAAGATTTATGGCTTAATGCCACTGTTGTGAAGCTTCCAGCCATTTTTTGTTCCCCCGAATTAAAACTGATTTGAAAATGCTGGTGTATTCCCTTGCAGTTAATTTACTGGGTTTGATGTAGCACGTATGTTTCTAAAGTAGAGTGTAATAGTAAGAATATACTTTTATGATTTCAGCTAGGTCTCTCAAATTAACTGTTTAACAAGTTCCTGACTGCAGGTTCTAGAGAATAGGCAGGGATCTTCTTTTCAGCTTCAGTAAGTGATGTGCTGTTGCCCATCGATCCCCCTGTGCTCTTCTTCAGCAGCAGGTTTTCTCAGTTTGTGATCTCCAGTGGAGGCCTCACTGGGGATGAATAGCACAGAGTAGTTACTTCTCTTACTCCTGTCAGCACAGGGACAAGAGTTTGCTTTTTGCTGTAATTCCACATTGCTGACCCCTATTGTGACCCGCTTCTTGTCCTCAATGCTCTTTGCCAGTTGGGCTTCCCACTGCATATTCACACACTTAGTTTCTTTTTTGAACTTTCTTGAAATTTTGCTGAATTTGTGGAAATTGTTGTGTTGACTTTTTGACTGACCCCTCTTCTATTTGCCGAGATCCCCCCAGCGTGCTGGCAGCTTCTCCCAGCTTGATGTCATCTGCAGATTTTGTACATCTCCTCATTAATCTTTGTTCAAATAACCATTAACTGTTCCAAGGCAGAACTACCTGAAAACCTCTCCCACTATGACAAATAAAACTCTTCAGACCTTTCAGAGTAATTTCCAGTCTTTTTATGATCCTGTCTGTAGTGCTGTCCTTAGCTTGCATATAAGGCTGTCAAATACATACTTTGTATGTCAAGAGCAGTCCAAGTGCATTCCTTCAGTCCTAGGAATGGGAAGAACAAAACCATCTTAAATTAATCTTGGGTGTGGATATCGACACATTTACTAAAAGCTTTATGCTTAGCCTGAAGAGTTCTGCAGAACAGTGAAGTGCTGTGTGGGAGGGATTATGGGTTATGTATTTTGCAAGTATTTCTTTTCTTTTTATAATTGGTTTTCACTGTTGGAATTTAAAAGCCCTTTGGCAATTTAGATTATAACAGGGTACTGCTAGATAAAATATTTTGGAATGAAAAACCCCTCTGCCTTGATTTCTACTTGTTGAGTTTCTTCTCTTGGTTTTTTGTTATGCTACTGAAGTGTCTTTCACAATGTGGTATAGACTTCAAATTTGCTAATAATAAAAAATAAATTTTACTTTGTTTTGTATAGTGGTTTAGGCATGGTCAAAATAGAGGTATCTTGTTTCATTTTCCTGTGATTCTGCTTATTTTCTAAAAGACTAAGTGCTGCCTTTCTACAGTCTCTAATGTGGAAAAAATCAGGTATCTAACAAAAGAGCAGACAAGGAAAGGTTAGGATTAATTATTGTTAAAGCAAGCTGTCTGTTCGTAACTTGAAGCTGTTGTATCTTAAAGTATTTGGCAAAATATAAAGCTTCAAACATTACCAACTGTAGACCATCATTTGATGAAGACTGAGTCTTGTATTGTTTGTGTACCTTGTTCTTATGCTCAAATTATAATAAAAGCAGTATTTGCATTCAAGAGCACACATAAATACTCATTTCTTACATCCTCTGTGCCCCATTTCTAAAAGAATTGGTTGGTATTGTGCAAAGTCAAATTGTTATATTGCATTTATTGTTCCCAATTAAGAAACATTGGCCTAATCTGCCTGAAGTTGGACCCGAGTCTTGTGCAAGGGAATAGAATTTGGCCCCTAATGTGGGCCTCAGGACAGAAATGTTTTACATATGCTTTGCGCTACCAGCCCAGGATATGAATTTTGTTTAGTAAGCTCAGTCTTTAAGCCAGCACTGAACTGTAAATTGGTCTGATAAAGCCGTAAGAAATGAGAGGGCTCCCATGGCAGCCCATCATTCACTGTTTTTCAGGCAAAACTGGGAATCCAGTTTTAATTTTTCATTTGGCAGCGTGGTGAAGGGTGATTCCACCGATAGCCAGAGATGACTTTCCTCATGCATATGCTTGACCCTTTGTCACTGTTACAAAAATTTGACCTCCATCCAGCTAAAAATATTGGATGCCACTCATACCTTCCTGCTGCATTT